CTCACTGCACGTCCAGCATCATAGTAACATGCAAACTACCACAGTACAACACACTGACAGGAGCCCAAAAATGTAGTCTAATTAATCATGAAGAAAACATCAGACAAATCTCAAATATCCAAGTTATTTTTGTTAAGTGCCGTCGAGTCAGTTCTGACACAGTGACCGGTATAGGGTTTCTAAGGAGTGGCTGATGAACTTGAACTGCCGACCTTGTAGTTCAAACGGCTCTTCTGGTGCATTAACCCACAGTGCCACACCAGAATTCTGGATATCTGAGTAGTGCTCCCCAAAGTCAGAATAAGGACAGTCTGAGAAACCGTCACAGCCAAGTGAAGCCTAATGTGGACCCCTGCCCCCCTCTCTGAGTCTCTATCCCCACTCCCTGGGTCTCTGCCCTCTAATCTCTAGCACCTTCTCTTTTTGTTTCAGCCCTCCCCCAACCCCACCCTAGTGAGTCTCTATCTCCTCCTCTCTCTGTCTCTGTCCTCCTCCCTCTACGCATCCTGGGTTTCTGTCCCTTTCTGGGTTTCTTTCCTTCTCTCTCTCTGCCTCTGTCTTGTCCCACCAAACAAGAGGATGGTGCCTGCCCACAAGACCTCTATGATCTCCCCCTGGTCCCTCTGTCCTCACCTCCTGCCCTTCCCCTCATTCTTTGGGCTCCAGTCTCACTAGACCTCTATGATCTCCCCCTGCTCCCTCTGTCCTCACCTCCTGCCCTTCCCCTCATTCTTTGGGCTCCAGTCTCACTAGACCTCTTGCTATTTCTCAGACAAACTCGCTAGGTCCTGCCCCATGGCCTTTGCACCCGCAGTTCCGTCTGGCTGGGCTACTCTTCCCAGACCTTCCCATGGCTCCCTTCCTCTCCCAGTGAGCCCATTCACAACTTACCAGTTACCAGCAGTTCACCATCATGCATCCCCGTCTTCACTCTGACATATTTTGGGTGGATGTCTCTGCTTCCTTGAACTCAGCCAGGGCAGGTTATGTTTACTGCTGGGTCTAGTTATACTTTGTATTTTCCTTCCCCAGAACACTTTAAAACCCTGCCAACACCCAGGCCCTTTCTTCAAATGACCCCTCCCTCTGCCCACATTCCCCACAACTCCCAGTTCCTCCCAAATTCCTCCCAAAACTCCTGTCCCTACTAGGAGAGACAGACAGACAGACACAGAGGTGGCAGGCCCTGGATTTTATTGACCCTCAATTAGAGGGGGAGGCATCTGGGGTGGTATCGGACCAGATGAGATGGGGCGTATTTCTTGGTCTGGGTGGGCCGAGGCTCAGATTAGGAGCTAGAAGGGACAGGCGGGTAGTGGAGGTTTTTGAAGGCCAAGCCTTTGGGATGAGGGTCCCTGGGTCTGGACAGGGTGATTTTGCCAGTGAGAAACGCATGCGTATTACCTTGGGGCTGTGGGAAGGGTGAAGGGTGCCTCAGAGTGAAGATGATCCGGAGCAGGCCATCTTACCCACTCCCAAGCCCTACCCCCGCCTGCATCCACCATCCTACAGGGCCAAAGAGCGGACAGAGTCAGGATGGAGGGGCGTGGCTACAGGCGAGGGGCGGGCTTACAGCTGAGGGGCGTGGTCATGGCTGAGGTGCCAAGAGGCTGTAGTGGTTGAGTCGGGCTCAGAGTTCATCGTGGTGACGCGTGAGGTCCTCTCCGTAGTTAGTAGCCTGGCTGCCCACGAACATGTTCCAGTTACTCAGAATCTCCGCCTTGCTCAGACGGCCGTCCTGGGGGAGGGTCAGAGATCAGCCGGGGGGTGGGGGTGGCCCTGAAGGTGAGACCCCTCCGGAAATCTAATTGGTCCACCAGGTCTCTTTCTCCCTCTCTCTCTAGATCTCTGTCTCCCACTTCTCTCTGGGTCTTTGTCTCCATCTCCCCTCCCCGCCCCGTCTCTCTGGGTCTCTGTTTCCCTTTCTCTCTGGCTTTCTATCCCCTCATCTCTTTGTGCGGCTCACCCCACTCTTTGCATCTCAGGACATCTCTCCTTTGACCCAGCATACAAGCCTGGATCTTGGTAATTTCTGTGCACCAGGGCCCCCAGCAGGAGGACCGTGGTCCTGTCCATGTACCTTGTCCCTGTCACTCTCATGTAGTAGATGGTTGGCCTCCACTAGCGGCTGGTCCTGGGCAGGCGGCAACACCCAGTGGCCCACCTCACTGCCATCCAACCGCCCATCCTTGTTGAGATCCCGGAAGTCACGAAACTGTTCCCGCTCCGTCTGCACCCAAGTAGGCTCTTCCTGTCCAGGTTCCTCTGAGTACAGGTCGGCTGGGGGTGGCAGAGGGGCGAGGTCAAGGGCGGCTCTCAGGAACCCAGTCCAGGGGTCCAGACCTGGTGTTTCCAGGTCGAGAGACCCAGGGTGACTCGTTCTTGTCATTGGCATCAGTTTCTTCTTCTGTTTAATTGGAATTAATATCAAAACCACTTACAGGCTATTGTTTTGATGACTTGAGAAACAGTGGGTATATGAGATCACACCATAAGCCCAAAATATGAAGACACACGAGTCAAGATTATTCTGCCAGGTAACAGAATAAAGTTGTTATTAGATCAATACCAAAGAATCCTCAGCTACCAAAAAGCTAGCAGACTGAACCCATCAGCTGCTGCACAGAAGAAAGACAACTCAGTCTGCTTCTATAAACGTTGTTGTTGTTAGGTGCCGAGTTGGTTCCAATTCATAGGAACCCGTTGTATGTTGGAACAAAACACTCCCCAGTCCTGCACTGTCCTCACAATTGTTCTGCTTGAGCCCACTGCTGTTGCCCCTGGGTCAGTCCACCTCATTGAGGGCCTTGTTCTTTTTCACGGACCCTTCACTTTACCAAGCATGATGCCCTTCTCTAAGGACTGGTCCTTTTTGACCACATGTCCAAAGGGCATGAGAAGTCATGCACACTTCTAAGGAGCGATCTGGCTGTATTTCTTCTAACAGATTTGTTCATTCTTCTGGCAGTCTATGGCATAATAAATATCCTTTGTCAACACCATCATCAGCCATGGAAACTCTCTAGTGTAGTTCTACTCTGTTCTACAAGGTCACTAGGAGTTGGAATCGAGTTGACAACAACCGGTTTGAGTTTAGAACAACACCCCGTGTCACCCCGGCCGGAATCACGGCGATCCATGGCTGATGGGATTGTAAAACGGGGCAGCCACTGAAGATGATAGTTTGGTGGTTTTTCCACAAAGTCAAACAGAGAAATATCCTGTTGGTGACCATGGAGTTGGTTCCAATTCATAGCGAACCCATACCTCACAGGGTTTTCTTGGCTGCAGTCTTTTTGGAACAAACACCAGGTCTTTCTCTCTAGGAACTGAAGGGTGGGTTCAAACCAACAACCTGTAAGTTAGCAGCTGAATGCTCAACCATCAGGGTTTCTTCTAACTACCATAAACCAAGCCCCAACCCATTGCCATGGGTCAATTCTGACTAATAGGAACTAACACTGTGTAAGATTTCTGAGCCTGTAAATCTTTTCTAGAGCAGAAAGCCTTATCTTTCTCCCTAGGATCAGCTGGTGAGTTGGAACTGCTATGGTTACCAGTCTAGTTCTTATCCTACTGGAACTACCATATGACTGAGCAATTCCACCCAAAAGGCTTGAGACTCAAGCAGACACTTGCACACCAATGTTCCATTGCAACACTATTCACATGCTTTCAACAGATGAATGCATGAACAAAACATGGTTCATTCATACAATGGGAGATGAATGTTGAAAACATCATGCTGAGTGAAAGAAGCTAGACACAAAAGGATAAATTTTTTGGTGCCAACTGTTCTGGATAGACTAAGATTGAGAACCATAGACTAGACTAGAAATCGAATCCTCATCATGGCCCTCAAGGACCTTGTTCCTCCTTTGTCACACTCCCCCTTGCTCCCAGGACTCCCAGAAGCCACCATGCTCACTTCACTGTTATTCAGACCTCAGCAGCAGCTGTTCCCTATGTCTGGACTGCTACTCCCATATTCCTCCAGACTTGCTACGCCCTCACTTCATCCCAGTCTCGGCCCCGACATTATTTTGCCAAGGTGACCCTCCTCAACATTCATTCCGAGGCCCTGCTGTACTCTTCTCCAGAATGCTTCCTTTCCCCCAGCGGGAGGATTGTGTGTGAGGGTCAGTCAAAAAGTATCGCTACAAAATGTTCTTTGAGTTTGGGAAATAAAAAATGTGAAGGGGCAAGATCAGGTTGTAGGCTGGATGGGGTAAGGTTTACCAGGGAAATTCTCCTAGGACAGCGCTTGCTACTCTCGAAGAATGAGCAGGTGCATTCTCAGGATGGAAAACAATTCCTTGGCCAAACTTTCCTGCTCTTCTTTTCATCAGTGTAGTTCTCAATTTTCTTAAAACTTCTTCATAATAAGCTCCCATGATTGTTCTGTGTCCTTTGGGAAAATTGATCACAACCACCTCTCTGGGATCCCCCAAGAAAGTTGCCATAGCCTTCTGAGCTGACCTCTCTGCCTTGAATTTCATTGGCTCAGCAGATCCCCTCAGAAGTTAACAGTTTTGATTAGACCTTTTTGTCTGTTTGTTTGTAAGTCACCATTAAGAGACTTTTGTTGTTATTATTAAGTGCCTTAAAATTGGTCCTGACTCACAGTGGCCCTATATAGCAGGGATGGGGAACATCTGGCCGGAGGGCCATGTAAGTCCCAGGAAATTATTTGACCTGCCCCTGCCAAGGCAACTACAGTTCCAGCCATCACATTGTTGTTAAGTGCCATCGAGTCAGTTCCAACTCGTAGCGACCCTGTAAGGGTTTCTGAAGAGCATGGTGAGTTTGAACTTCTGACCTTGCCATTCAAACTGACCTTGAGGTCAAGTGCTTAACCTATGGTGCCACACCAGGACGCCAGCCATCACATTAGGGGTGAGTTAATGAAATGTTTGACTAAATATAGCAGGCGAAAGTTTTAAGTTGGTAATTTTGTATGGCCCATCAATGATGATATAAATTTTGGCAGAAAAGTGGTTCCCCACCCCTGCTGTCTAGGGTTTCTGAAGAGCAACTGGTGGGTTTGAACTGCCAACATTGTGGTTCAAATAGACCTGGTAGTCCAGTATCTTATCCTGCAGCGGCACATAAGACAAGTGAATTACTGAGAGAATTTGTCTGCAGCCATCTTCTGATTGCAGAGACATGTTCAAACATAATTTTGTTTGGAATAAACCTATGAGTGAATAAAGGACCCCCTGGCAGTAATACTTTCCGAGTCACCCTCATATGTGGTGACTGAGCCTAGTCCTGGTCTGTCTCCCCCCAGGAGGCCGGTGACCTTTGTCTGGTTCAAGTCTGCTTCCTCAGGGCCTAGAACAGTGCCTGGCACACAGTGCTTAGATTACATAGCAATTACATGACATTATAGACAGTGATTAGATTAGATTAGATGACAGGTACTTAGTAGCTGTTTGGGGGGATGCATGGGCCCAAGCAATGTCCTTTCCCCACCTCTAGAGAGTCTGTGCTCTCTTATGGGGGTGTGATAGCTAATTTTATGTATCAACTTAGGCTGTGGTGCCAGTTGTTGGCCAAACATGAGTTGAGCTGCTGTCTGGAGTAGTTACTTGTGATTAGACCATTGGCCTTGGGTAGAGCAAATAACCTTCCACAATGCAATGTAATTACCTTCCATAATATAATTAATTATCTTACATCTAAGGTAATGCACAGAGTCCTGGTGTGGCACTGCAGGGTAATGCACCGAACCAAAAGATCAGTTTGAACCTCAAAGTCAGCGGTTTGAATGACCAGCTGCTCCTCAGAAGCCCTGCACAGGGTCACTATGAGTCAGAACCGACTTGACATCACTTAACAATAACAACAAGGGAATGTACACCTACTCTCCATTTATTGACATGGTGAGATTCCAAAGACCATGTTGTTACCTGAAAATTAGCAGTAGATTAAAATAAAGGATGACTATTTCGTAACTGCCAAACCACATCATTACATAACTGGTAAACCACCGAGAATCATGGTTCAGCCAGCTGACACATCACCATCACAGCCAGATATATGCTGTTAATGTGCAAAATAGTCCCGTGGTAGTTTTCTTTACTATTGTCATAAATGTGGACTATTGGATGATGAGGTTAGTTGATAAGTGAGAAGATGCTATGGTTAAATGCTGTTGAGTTGGTTCTGATTCATAGTGACCCCGTAAAGACTTTCCTAGGCTTTAAATCTTCACAAGAGCAGAAAGCCTTCTCTTTCTCCCATGGAGCAGCTGGTGGGCTCGAACTATGGACCTTGTAATTCGCAGCCCAGTGTTTATTGTATGTTGTTGTTGTTAAGTGTCATCGAGTCAGTTCCAACTCATAGGAGCGACTGGTGAACTTGAACTGCCAACCTTGCAGTTCAAATTGACTCTGTAGTCCAGCACATTAACCCACAGTACCACACGAGGACTCCGTTTATTGTGTAGAAGTATTATAAGTAAATCAAACCTATAATACTGAAACTAGGGCACCAGAGATATCAATTTGTAATGAAATCAACTACAAAGCATGAAGAGAGAATAGTGTAGATACCAAACTTCCAAAATGCAAAGAAGTCAAGTAGCTTTCAAGATGAAACAGACAGTTTTAAGTAGGGAAAAATATTAATCAAATGTAGTATAACCTCAAAGAAAATGAATACGCCAACAATATAATTGCTTTCCATCCGTAAATATAATGTAACGCTCTCACATCTAATGTAATATCACCACTTTCCATACATATTATAATCACCTTGTATGTGGCAATGTGGGATAAGCACTGGACTGCTAACTGCAAGGTCGGTGGTTCAAACCCACTAGCCGTTCCTTAGAAACCCTATAAAGGGTTGATATGAATCAGAACAACTCAAAGGCACTGAACAACAACAATACAATCCGGTATAATATAATCAACCAGTTGAGTATACACCTGTATAGGGTTGATCCTAAACCTCATCACTTCTCAGTTATATATAAAAATGGACCAGAACAGAAGCACACACACACACACAGAGGGAAAGACAGACACCAGGTGATGACTGTCTACAAGTCTCCAAACAGCAAGACAGCCGGCAGACACCAGAACCAGGAGAGAGGTCCAAAGAACCATAGAAGGAAACAATCTTACAGCCTCTAGAATTGTGAGACAGTACTTTTCTGTTCCTACAGGGGCACTAGGTACAGATACATGGGGCTGCTGCCCGGCTTGGAAAAGACAGACATCCTGGAGAAGGGAGCCAGCATCCACTCACCAATGTATTCCTCTACTTGGACGTAGCCATCCATGTTCTTGTCCAGATCCTCCATCGTTTCCTGGGGAGAAAGAGGCATTGGGATGGGGAGCGCATTACCCCTGGCTCTTGTGAGCAGCTGTGAGGCTCTCTCAGGGAACCTAGCTCTGGAATGACCTTGTGGGGGCAGGTATTAGAGCAGGATGCGTTTGGGAAACAAGGGGATTTAGAGTCATCTGAAGTCCTATGATGCCCAAGTTGGTCTCATACAGAAGCTTGTCCTGTGTTTCAACTTGTTCATGTCTCAGCAAAGATTCTCAAAATGGAGACACCTCTTTATGGTAGCAGAGCCTAGTCCTTATTTCTGCCACCCGCCTGCAGTACTGTCTGTGGCTTGTGCGTCCTTGTGATGCTGGAAGTTACAGCCGAAAGTATTTCAAATACCAGCAGAGTCGTTCATGGTGGACAGGTTTCAGAGGAGATTCCAGATTAACGCAGACTAGGAAGAAAGAGCTGGCAATCTATTTCCAAAACGTAGCCAGTGAACCCCCAAAATTGCAGGATATTGTTTGAGACTTTGACTCTCTTTGTTTGGATGTGTTGACAGGAAGGACAGATTGTAGAAGAAGGACATCGTGGTTGTTAAATTAGAGGATGAGCGAAGGCGAGGGCAACCCTCAGTGAGGTGGCCTGACACAATGGCCACAAAATATACTGAAACACACCAGCGATGGTAAAGACAGTACACACTAGGCAACATTTTATTCTGTTATACAAGGGGTCGTCATGAGTTGGACCCAACTCATGACCTTGGCTACCGAAAATGGGAGGAGGGGAGGGGAGCTCTAAAGGCACAAAGTAGCTGGCTTACAAGTTTTCAAGAGGGACTTGAATTTCAGAGTGTGTGGGGGAAGGTAGAATCCCCACCGAATAGTTTTCATCTTGTCTAGATAGGTCTGGTGAAAGGAGATAGGGATTGAATTCTTTTGATTCAATAGTGAGTAATTGTTATCATGACTAATTGTGATTGCCACAACTTAAAGGAAGAAGTTTTGTAACATAAGGGGGAAAATAGTTAATCTTACATTCCAGGAACAGAAGATTATCAATAGAGAAGAGCATGAGCAGCAGAATGTGGGACCCTATCCAGAGAAGCAGTGACACCAGAGATGGAAGCAGAGATGAGGACATGGAGAGAGGGAGCAGCTGAGGACTCTAGACTCATGGAAAGAGAAAGGCTGTGTGCTGGCAGCCAGGAGGCAGGCTTGCAGAACGTGCCCTTTGGTTGTTTAAATGATTATATATGCCTGAGTGTCTTTGTGTACATAAAAATAACAACAACAGAGGGAATAGAAGCAAATACTGTTAAATGATGATACATGGAGGGGATTGTAATCATTGCAATGAAACAAAACACAATAAGATAAGTGCAAAACCGATGTTCTACCACGTAAACTATCATTCAATTCACAATAATAATTTTTAAAAAAAGACTTAAAAAAAAAATCCTAAGAAACCATTGCTATCAAGTCCATTCTGACTCATAGTCACCCCATAGGACAGAGTAGAACTTGCTCCATAGAGTTTCTGAGGTTGTAAATTTTTACAAAAGCAGACTGCCACATCCTTCTTCCGAGGAGTAACGGGTGGGTTCAAACAGCCAACCTTCTGATTAGCAGCCAAGGGCTCCAGTTTACCTATTGTTGTTGTTGTTAAGTGCTGACGAGTCAGTTCTGACCCATAGCGATCCTATATAGGGTTTCCGAGGAGCGGCTGGTGAGCTTGAACTGCCAACCTTGTAGTTCAAACCAACTTTGCAGTCCAGAGCATTAACCCACAGTGCCACACCAGGACTCTGATTTTACCTTCGTTGTTGTTGTTAAGTGCCATGGAGTTGGTTCCGACTCATAGTGACCCTGTACAGGGTTTCTGAGGCTGTAAATCTTTACGGGAGCAGAAAGCCTCATCTTTCTCCTGCGGAACAGCTGGTAGTTTTGAACTGCTGATCTTGTGGTTCACAGCCTGATTCGTTACCAACTACACTGCCAGAGCTCCTTTTACCTATAGATACAACTATTTCAACACACTGACACCTCTGCTCTTGGCTTTTCTCTGTACTTCTTGAGTAAGTCTCATTTTCCCCTATTTTCACATTCAAACATAGTCATTGTACGACTGGGCGGACATTTGATACTTCACTGTATCTTCTAGCAAAATCGAACCTCAACATGTTAGGGAAGATGGATGAAAGGCAGACTGCCCATTACATTGGAATTTCAAATGAAAGAGAGATCATTCTTTAATGTAAGTATGTCTCACTCATTATCAAGACTGGGGTTTCCCAAGGCACTTCTGGTAGTGCCCTGGTGGTGCAGTGACTAAGTGCTTGGCTGTTAACAAAAAAGTCAGTGGTTCAAACCCACCAGCCACCCCATAGGAGAAAGATGCAGCAGTCTTAGAACTATGGGGCAGTTCTAGCCTGTCCTACGGGGTCACTATGAATTGGAATTGACATGATGTCAAAGGGTTTGGGATATTTTGAGTCGCTTTTGGTGGGAAGTGGGGAGGGAGTTTTCTAAAGGTAGCTGGGTCCCAAATCCTAAATCAAAAGTCACAAGAAGGGAGACAGGAGGCTGCAAGAGAAGAGATTAGACCCCAGGGAGGTCAGGAAGTGGACATGAAAGATTCCAATCTACATTTAATCTGTGTTTGGGGTCTGGGGACAATTCTGGAAGGCAGGTGACTTTGGATCTCCCCAGTTGAGTGCTGGGAAGTTGGACCTGGGATCAGAGAACTGTGAGAGGGTGGGAGGTGCACAGGTAGTCCTCTTGAGCCCTCACTTACAGCAATGACGATGTCCCGCATGTGAGGGAACTCCTCAGGGTGTAGGAAGGCCGTCAACTCCTCCCGAGTGGCCACGGAATCCTTGTCCTGGTCGGCTGCCTGGAAACGCCGTTCATCCCGGGCCAGCATCTTCTTGTAGGTCTCTGCATCCTCCACGTCATGAAATTCTTCACCTGGGGAAGGAGGGGCCTTTCATGGAAATGACGGACGGCAGGCTAAGAAAGGACCAAGGGGGTGAACTCAGGGGGTCAAGGTGGGAGACTTACACACAATTAATGATTCATCTGACTCCATAAGATAATCACAAGGTTGGCGGTTCAAGCCCACCAGCTGATCCGTGTAAGAAAGATGAGGCTTTCTGCTCCCACAAGGATTTTAATAAAAGCCTCAGAAATCCTATACAGGTTGCTGAGTTGAACCAACTCCATAATCCCTAACAACAACATGGTACTTAACTTCAATGCCAATACTGTACAACTCATCTGTGTAGTATGAAGAGCCTTGATGGTACTGCGGGTTAAGTGTTGGGCTGCTAACCAAAAGATTGGCAGTTCTAACCCACCAGTGGCTCTGAGGGAGAAATAAGAGGCAGTCTGCTCCTATAAAGATTTACACCCTCAAAAACCCTATTACAGGGTCACTAGGAGTTGGAACTAACTTGACACCACATCAAACTTCATGGAGCGATTCTGTTCTGTCCTATAGCGTCATTATGAGTCAGAATCGACTTGTTGGCAGTGGGCTTGGGTTTGGGTTCTAGTGGCAGAGTGGTTAAGTGTTCGGCTGCCAATCAAAAGGTTGGCAGTTCTAACTCACCAGTCATTCTACGGAGGAAAGATCTGGCAATCTGCTTCCATAAGAAGATTACAGCCTTAGACACCCTGTGGGGGTCATTCTGCCCTTACAGGATTGCTATGAGTTGGAACCAACTTGATGGCAACAGGTTTTGTATTGACCATGACTCTTGGCGACTCGTGTGGTGTGTCAGAGTAGAACTGTACTCCATAGGATTTTCAATAGTCGATTTCCCAGAAGGAGTTCACTAAGCCATTCTTCCAAGGTGACTCTGCGTGGACTCGAACCTTCAAACTTCCCATGAATAGCCAAGCCTAGTAACCATTTGCACCATCCAGGGATTCCTATATGTATGAGTTGTATATTAGCTAACTTGTACGTTGTTGTTGTTGTTGTTAAGTGCCGTCGAGTCGGTTCCAACCCATAGCGACCCTGTATAGGATTTTCAAGGAGCGACTGGTGAGCTTGAACCACCAACCTTGTAGTTCAAACAGCTTTGCAGTCTGACGCATTAACCCACGGAGCCACATCAGGACTCCAGCTAATTTGTATAGAGAGCTAATTAGATACTCAGTGCTTTGTCCACATTATTGCACTGAATTCTCACAGATTGAAGAGAAAGTGGGTTCTTTCATTTATTCTCACTTTATGAAAGAAAACCTTCAGAGAGAGGAAATCACTTGTCCGAGGTCAGTGACAGCAGACTTGAAGTTGACCTTGGCCCGTTGGGCTTCAAAGTCACAGTCTAATGCAGTAGGTTATACTGACTCTGGTTGTCTGCCCAAGAGTTGGGAAGTACATTTTACAAAGGAACAGCATGTGCAGAGTGTGAACATTTGAAAAGCTTGGTGAGTTCAGAGATCCACTTGGCACTGGGAAGCCATGAGAGGGTTTGAGCAGGGAAGGGCAGGGTCAGCTCCCAGGATAGACTAGAAAACCAAGGAGCTGGGTAGGAGGCTGGGGCAAGGGCCTAGGAGGGAGGGGACAATGCCTTGTGTGGGTGCCAAGACTGGGGCTGTGGGAACAGAGCGAAGGGACCAAAGAGTAGGGCCTGTGTAAATGGGTTTATGGATTCTCAGGATGAGAGATCAGAGATCAGGAAGACAGACAGGGTGGGAAGTTAGGCGTGGCTGGTCAAAGATCTGCAGTCCCCTACTCACAGTATCACAGATGGTGACTCCCAGAGGCCAAAGGTTAGCGGTTTCAGGGGGATGGGGGGGGGTGTCCCAGAAATAGGTGGATTCTGACTTAAGAGTCAGAGGTCAAAGGTCACAGATCCCAGGGTCTTCAGGAGGAAGGAATCCAAAAATCAGTCAGTGGTGTGTGTGGAGGTGGGGAGGGTGGGGTTCAAGGTCTCGCCACTTACCAGGCTCATAGTGACCATAGGTAGCGTTGCGTAGCTCTTCCCAGCCCACACGTCCGTCATGATCCGTGTCATACGTGTCCCAGGCCGCGCTCACTGAGTCCCGTATGTGCCGCTGCTGCGTGTGCGCGATCCATGCACGAAGCTCGGCCAGAGACACCCAGCCGTCTCCGTCCCCATCCTGGTCCATGCGGTCCACGATCCTCCTGAGCCGGGGTGTAGCAGATGTCAATTCCAGGCCACACCCACCCCATCCAGGCTCTGTCCCTTACACAGAGCCAAGCTCTCACCCAACACACATCTCCTTATAGAGCTGAAACGAAGCTCCAAGCTCCTCTGTAAACCAGAGGAGGGGCACGTGTCAATCTCCCGACTGCGCCTACTCCCTTACCGGGAGCCACACTTTCCATGCCTTTGGTGGAAGATACCAAACGCAGCACCTGGTAGTTTCGAACTGCTGATCTTAAGGTCAGCAGCCCTACTTGTAACCACTATGCTACCAGAGCTTCTTTGGGACCCAGTAGGCGCTCAATAGACATCTGTGGGATGGATGGATAGCAAGGGAACTGGCTGCAAGCATAGAGAGGGGCCATTCAATTGCCTTTTGCTCCCAGCTTCATTCTAGCTCAGTCTCCTTTCTCCTCTCAACGCAGTTCATTCTGGGACTCAGGGCTCAGCCTTTTTCCCCCCAAGGCTGTTTGTTCTCCTTACACTCCACATCTCATTATTCTTCACACCAGCCCCCGACAATCCAAAGAATACTGGTGACCCTTTTCCAGAGCAGGAAACTAGGATACAGGAATAAAAAGTGACCAGGGGGACAGCAGCTGATCCAGATCCTTCTGTTTTCCGAAGTCATATCTCGAGGACTCAATTCTTACTCAGTTGTGTTTTGCCTGAGGAAGGGAGGTCCACTCCATTCTCTCACCAATGCTCAGATAATCTCTCTTCGTACCCCCACCCACCGCCCATTGCACCCCACTCCTACCCCCATATGACTCCTACCCCAAGCGGGTCTGGCTTTCCTCAGGACTCAGCTGGTCGAATTCCTTGGCCACTTCCCGTCCCAAGAAAGCTTCATGGTCGTACTGAAAGTTCCCGTGGGCGTCATCATGAGCTGCCTCGCTCAGGGGGGCTGCCTGGTGCACCCTCCCCTGGCCATGAGGGCTTCCGTCCGTAGACGGCTTCCCCTGGGTCCCCCGCCCCAGCAGCAAAAGTAGTAGCAGAAGTGCTTGTCGCCACATCGTCAGTCCCTGCGGAGGGGCGGAGGCCAGCAGTCAGGGGTTGGAGGAGTTGGAGGGGAGAGGCCCGGAGGATTTGTGGAGTGGGGTTGTAGAACAAGAAAAGGTGCAAAGTTTTGGCCTCAGGAAAGTCCGAGGATAGATAAAAGGGAGCGGTGTCTCAGAGGTAAAACCAGTGAAGGGGACTCTATCTTCTGGGGCAGTCCATAGGGGTCCCACACCCACAAGTAAGGGACTCCTGGGTAAGACGTGGCACACGTTCCACGCAAAGAGTGGGGAGGATTGTGGACAACAAGAGATCACGTCAACTCCAGAGAGTCGCTTCCAACATGGACTCTAATCTGCAACCCGAGCTGTCCCAAGCCGCCCTTCCTGGGCACCCCTTGCACCCCTTTACCCCGTTATGCAGCCTGGCTTCGCTTTCCAAGTTCAGTTGCCTGTTCTCCGAAAGATGCCCAATTTGGCCTGTCTCCAGCCTGGCCTCGCCTCCGCCTGCGCAGAAGCCCCGCCTTATGACCAATGAGAGCACTCGAGGGCTCCGAGAGGCGGGGCCAATGAGCGCCTGGCGGGCAGGGGTGATCCTCGCCACGTCCACAAAAGAAAGCGGGACCCTGAAGGCTCCGCCCGACCGTTTTCCAGGGTCGGCAACGCCGGAATAATGCGGCTGAAGTGAACTACAATTCCCAGCAGGTTTTGGGGTACCTAGTCCGACTTCGTCCAGTTGTCCTGGCTCCGAGGCATTATGGGAAATGTGGTTTTAGCTATTTCTTTTTCTCTGGATGGCCTAAGTGATCCCAAAATGACACAGGGATAAAATGGGGTCCAGAAATCAAGATTAAACACGAATTACTGACTTAAGTCTTGTGACTAAAACCTTAAAGAATACTAAGGCCTGTTTGCTTCAGCAATTATAAAGATGTACAGTGAATGCTTAGGACGCCGATAAAGAGACATATCCCAGAAAATGCCATTAAGGAAAACCACCTATTAAAAATTCAGGATTTCACTTCCTTGAAAAATGTTTTACAGGCTGTACTGTTTTCCACAGTGCTGTTGTTAAAGTGCCGTCGAGTCGGTGCCGACTCATAGAGACCCTATGTAAGGTTTCCAAGGAGCAGCTGATGGGTTTGAACTGCCAACCTGATCCTACAGCACCAGGAGCCAACTCAGTCCTCTGTTGTTGTTGTTGTTAAGTGCCATCGAGTTGTTTCCAACTCATAGTGATCCTATGCAGGGTTTCTGAGGAGCAGCTGGTGGGTTTGAACTGCCAACCCTATGGTTCAAAGTCCAGTACTGATCCTACAGCACCGCACCAGGAGTCTAAGTATAACTTTAAATGATTACTTTCTGTTGAGGCAGAGAACACCAGCCTCTGGGAGGGGTTTGAACCAGGGTCGTAAAGAACCACGCATGCTTGACATACCAGAATAAGTTTTTGTCTGCCCTTACCAGAGGAGCTCTGGTAGCGTAGTGGTTACGAATCGGGCTGCAAACCTTAAGGTCAGCAGTTCGAAACTACCAGCCGCTCCGCGGGAGAAAGATGCGGAAATCATCGGACAATATCTTTGATGTCCCATGCAAGTAGTTTTACAAAAGGAGCTCTGGTAGCATAGTGGTTACGAATCGGGCTGCGA